CAAAAAAGCTTTAACAAGGCAGTTAAATCAGTCAGAGTATATCATTTTTTTTCTGATCTCCTTGCACAAGTTGACAAAATTTTGACGTTATATACATTCCATTTGAAGATGACACTAATTCTATTTTGCAATTTTAAGGTATTTATAACACAAGAACATGAGGCGGTCATAAGTTTCCGTATATTTGTCTTCGGTCTTTTCAATAAAAAAATACTAATAAAAGGCATAACACAAAAAACTAGTATGCTGTTGTTCAATAAAATCTCTATCACGCACACTTCAAACAATTTGATCTACTTACGTCTGTATATTTCCTATAAATAATCTTTACTTAGATATATCAACTCTTTAGATCAATTTTTTTTTCTCGTTATAACGAGATAACTAACTCGTTATTACGAGATAATAACGATATAACTAACTCGTTATAACGAGATAATTATCTCGTTATAACGAGATAACTAACTCGTTATTACGAAATACTAATTCGTTATAACGAAATACTAATTCGTTATAACGAGATACTAACTCGTTATAACGAGATAACTAACTCGTTATAACCAGATACTAATTCGTTATTACGAGATACTAACTCGTTATAACGAGTTAAGTATCTCGTTATAGCGAGATATTTATCTCGTTATAACGAGATTACTAACTCGTTTTAACGAGATAATTATCTTTATTTTATTTTTATTTTTTTGTATTATCAAAAATGAACCTATCCGGCTTTCGTACATTAAAAAGAATGATGCTTCAATAAACGTTGTTGATTCAATTCAAATCCAATGGACTGGTATTTTATTTTCCGAAATTGTTCATAAATTTAGCTGGGTGTGTAAACCATAAAAATGTAAACAGTGAAGAAGTAATTCCCCCCTTAAAATGTTATGTAAAATTAAGAAGAAAAAAATTAACTATGTATTATGCCAATACATCATTCTAATAAAATTTGAAGCCCTTCACCGGTATATGGTGACGTCTCTATATGAGTAAAAAATTCTCGAATGGGACATTAAACAACATACAATCAATAAATCAAACAAACAATACGGGTTATAAATTTATGTCCATAGTAAAAGAAAATTAAATTAACACAGTTAATATCACAGTTATTCGTCGCAAACATCCACGCCGCAGTCGTCTCGGGCCACCACCTAGTCCCTCCTTGTCCGACGACTCCAGTCGTCCACCACGTGGTCCAATATTGTCTAGACTTAGTCCCCCTAGTAGCTCTAGGTCTCTTGGGCGTACTTGGCCTATCTAACTTATTTTGCCTTTCCCTTACCCGTCTCCAGGTACCCATGTTAGGACCTACTTGTCCCGCTGGCTGCTGGTCTACTCCATTTTTTCCCTTACTCCCCGGTTCCCCAGGACTTAATCCTAAACCTGTGGCCCCCAGTGGCGTAGCTACACCACTCTCCGGAGAACGTACTCGGTCTCGGTCTGCGGGTTCTCCAGACAACCTACTTTTATATGAAACTAGCCATTGCCTGGACTCGCACATGGTGCATGTCCTAGACCTCTCTCCGAGACTTAACGACAAATACAGTGTCGGATTTGTTTCAATAATGACACCTGGAGCCTTCCAGATAGATTCGACTTTCTTCCCTGCATTGCGGCGTCAGTACACCAGATCTTCGACCTTGAACTTACAAGTAAGGATCTTAAGGTCATGAACCCTTTTTCATTGCCTTCTGCGCGGATTTAGTTTAGAATGTGCAATGTCATGCGCGCTCTGTGCATATATTCTAGATCCCGCACATATTTGTCTACCTCACCCTCCTCCCCATTTTGAAAAATACTCTGAAGTGGTGGGGCAAACACCAAGGTTGCTGGTATGTTAACAACTATTCCCAGCATTAGACGATTTGGGGTATATCCGGTGTGGCGCTTCGCCGTCGACCGCAATGCTTCAGCCAATGGACCTAAATACCTATCCCATATCTTGGGTTGACCATCAATGTTTCAACGGACCACATCCATTAAGGTGCAGTTGTACCGTTCTACTTGGCCATTCCCGAAGGTCTGTTTGGTGTGGTCCAGGCTTTATAAATACCTGACATGGCAAAGATTTTACAAAACAACACAATCTCAAAGTTACGTGCCTGGTCTGTAAAGATCTCAAAGGGATAGTCAAATCTCATGAAAAAGTCATTAATGGCTGACATAGCAGTCACTTCCGCTGTTTTTGATGGAACGGAATGCACTCAACCCATTTAATAAAGTTATCGACCATCATGAGTATAAAACCCATCCCCGCTGTCAGTGCTGGGTAATGGCCCGAGAAAGTCAAAGTGCACCCTCTCCATCGGGCTTCTGGCCTTATAACGTTTCAGTTCCGATTTATTCTGCAAAGAACCTCTTATTCCGGGCACATATGTCGCATGTCCTGACATAAAACTTGATGTCCTTGACCATCCGCACCAGTAGAACTGCAGCGTAACTACTCTTTACTTCTCCGTATCCCCTGGTGACCAGACGACGGAATGTCATGACATAAGTGCATGACCTTGGATCTAAGACTCCTCGGAACTAACAATCTACGAGGCATGTCCGTGTCTTTCGGTTCTCGCCAAATAACTCCTGTCTCGTCTAGGTAAAAACAGTCTGTTTCCACAAGATAACATTTCTCTTCCGGACTACAGATTATCACTTTCGGTAGGTAAACTAACAGACTCTAGGTACTGTTTGAGGTAGGACAATGAACTCATCTGATTTCTGCTTAAGAGCCAAATCTGTAGGACTGTATGATGATAGGGAAATTCCCGCTGTGTAACCCTGAGATACCTGACAAACTTCACCTCCTCAATCTCGGGACTAAAAATTGATACCTCATTGACAGCAATTTCAAAACTCGGAATTCAAGGGTACCTGCTGTCAACAGAAAATCATCCCAAGTACTTGTGACAATGGTCGGTAATTACCCCCCCCCCCTCTCCTCAGCGGATTGACTTTCCGCTTTCACAGGCGATTCCTGAAAGAGCTGGGATAGAGGAATTACATCGTCAATTTCAGTGTTAAAATCATGCCAGCGTTTATGTGCTTGGCGGCAATACCGGCACCCGCCTCACAGTAAATCCTCTACTCTAACTTTAGTAGAATAACTTTGGCATGTGTCGAGTATGTCCCTGGACAGCGCATCGTCATTCACATGCTTCTTTCCTGGGCGGTGGACAATCCGCATATTGTACTGGCTCAGCTCTTCTTACCAGCAAGCAATCTGATTGTGCGGATGCTTGAAGTTCATTAGCCAGACCAGGCTATGGTGGTCTGTCCTGACTGTGAACTCCCTGCCCAGCAAGTAATGGCGGAATTGTCTGGCAAACTTAATCACCGCCAATAACTCCTTTCTGTGCTGTTCAGCTAACAGCACTAACAACACTATGGCAGCACAGCGCTGCCATAGCCAACTGTCCTCTCTGTTCCATTCCATTGGCTAATTCCCTGCCTACGTCAGTATCCAGAATGAGGTGTCCGGTACTGTTCGTAATAGCCAGTACTGGGGGTTTGGTCATGAACTGGATGAGTTTCTAGAAGGCACTCTGTTGTTCTGCCTCCCCTCCCCCTTCACCGGAACAGAGAACTGAGGGATGAAGCTGCGGTGATAGTTGTCGAAGCCAAGGAAGCGCTCAACGCCGTCCAAGTCCCAAGGAACAGGCCAGTCACGTACTGCCTCGATGCACTGGTTCCCCATCTCGACTCCGTGCTCGCTCACGGTTCTTCCTAGGAACTCAACTTTAGTCTTAAGTAGCTCGCACTTCCGAGGCTTAAACTTAAGACCGTATGCTCGGAACAGCTCAAACACTTGTCCCATGATTATCAAGGTGAGCGTGTGCTGAAGCCCCAGCACTAATACATCATCGAGAAATGCTAAGACAATTTTCCAGTTCAGCTTGTGCAATACCAGATTGATGGCCCTAACGAAGGTCGCAGGGCATTGCACAGACCGAACCTCATTCTGGTAAATTCGAACATGCCATATATGGTGATGAGGGCTGTCATCCGGTCCTCTGGAGCTATTTCAATTTGCCAATAGGCGCACTGGCATCCAGTTTAGGAAAACCAGCGGTTTCTCGCTAGCGTGTCCAAGCACTCCTCGATGAGTGGCAGAGGGTACGTGTCCTTGACTGTCACCTTATTCAGGGCTCTGTAGTCCACGCACCAGCGGACACTACCATCCTTCTTCCTAACTAAAACCGGGGCGGACGCCGAGTATGAGGAAAGACGGCTGGATAACTCCGGCCTTCAACATATTGTTTTTCTCCCCCGGGTCCGAGGTCAAGGTCATCTACATCAAAGACGTCAGCAAATTTTTTAACTAGATCAACAGCCTGAGACTTCATCTCCACAGCCGCACTCTTCCCTAACTGGTCTAGCAGTGGGGCTATATGTTTCTAACCACTCTTTCCCTCCGCTGACATGCGGCGCACGGTGAGATCGGTAATCTTAACAGACGTAGCAGGGGCAGCTTCCCCTACTCTAGTACCGGTCTTGATAATGACTTCTGTCATATAAACTGGGGAAAATGGACAAAAAAATCACATTTTTCTGTTTCCATGGCAACGGTGGACATTTAGAAAATTTTGAATATAGACTGACAACAAGAGTTTCCAATCAAAATCTCTGCAAATTTTCATCACAATTGTGCAAGCCACCTCCGAGGACGTATGTGCGCATATGTACTCTTTTTTTCTGTTTCATTTCTTAGGAAACTGTGTGCAAGCGAATCTAGTTTTATTACTGATTGAATTAACTTGACACAATGCAAGGAATAATCCTTAAAAAATCTAGTTCGGAGTGACTTAAAAAAAGTTATAGAAATATCATAATTTTTTCTATTTATTAGGAAATTGTTGCTAATATTACTGCTAGACGCCCACTTCAACAGCTGTTCAGGCTGGCACTAAAACAGAAAGTGATTCCGTTAAACTCTTTTATTTTCGATTTAAAAATTTGGCAATTGTTTCAAATGCCTTTATACTTTATATGATTTAAAAATGCATCAGTATGGTGGTAAATTTCGAAAATATTTCATTTTAATCAAACCAGTAACAAGAATTATACAGGGGAGACCCCCCTCCCCCCCCCCTTTTTTTCATACGATCATTTCTAGACTCTATTGTCATCATTATATTCATGTAAGTGTACGATTTTTTTTTATTTATCTCCAATGAAAATTTTATAGAGCATTTAAATATTCCATTAGATGATAACAGGATAATAATTTTGATTAAAGCCTGTTCAATACACATAAAAATATCAATGTATACTTTCACCATTGGAAAAATGATAAAAACTCATAACTTTTTTCTCTCTTTTTTGAGATTTTATTTCGGAGAAAATTTTAAAAAATTATTTTGCTTGCAATTGAGATATTTTCTTAAGCTTAAAATTTGCTGTATGATATAAATATCTTATAACATACCGATATCAAGAAAGCAAACAGATGTTTTTTTTATAATCTTCTTGAATGTTAAATACATAAATAGTTTAAATAAATATAATTGAATCTATAGATAAACTCATAAAAAACATGCGACGTATTGAAAAGAAATAAAGTACAGGCATATTTTTTCTGACAAATTTGATTGAAGAGCCGAATTTAGGAAATATTTCTAAATGTTAAGACAAAAACCAATCCCAATTGAAATAAAACCGATCCCGATCGAAATAAATGCAAAATTTATTACGCTAAAAGCAATTGCAGTCCAGAAGACATGTTTAAAAATAAATCAAGTAGTTTGTAAATCATATTTCAACAAAAGAATGAAGTTTAACGATGAAATTATTAATAATACTTATGTAGCCTCCTTCTTTATATAATTCGGTCGGGGTCGGTTTAATTTGGATAAACTTATCAAAAGTAGATAATTTGACTCCTCTTATTACTCTCTGTATACCTGTTCCCACCAATTTTATTCATTGAATCAACAATTTTTACTTTGAATTCAAAATATCTTGAGGAAAAAGTTTTGACACCGAATTTTATTGGATTTTAAAACGTAATGAAAAATGAATATTAAATTCAAAAAGTCGCATGTTTTTCTCAATGTTGGACCACCTATTTTTTTTTAAACAAAAAATTGTTATTCTACATACATGTATATAGTACGCATGTTTATTTTTTTGCGCATGTGCAATGCTGCGTTGTCAAGTACTTAGTCCAGAGCCTAAAGATGTACAACAAAAACCAGCCCCAACCAACCCCATATCCACCCCCTCCCCTAAAACGGCTAAATAATAATAAAAAAAAAAATAAAAAAAAAAAAAAAAAATACATAAGTTGTTAAACTAATGAAAAAACTTTGAAACTTTGATTAAGTATAGGGAAAACTTTAATTAACTATAGTTGAAACTTTGGAACTTTGATTTACTACAGTGAAAACTTTGGAACTTTGATTGACTATAGTGAAAACTTTGGAATTAACTTTGATTTACTATAGTAAAAACTTTGCAACTTTGATTTACTTTAGTGAAAACTTTGCAACTTTGATTTACTATAGTTAACCATAGTAAACGATAGTTAACTATAGTTTACAATAGTATTTTTTGTCAGGATAAGCGTATATTTTACGACTAGGTTTACGCCGCTGCGTGAAACACAAAATACCCCTGACTAAGTTCTGGCGTACGCCCGTAAGTAGACTAAAATGAAGTTCAAAATCTACCAATATTTATGAAACGGGACCCAGATGCCTTAAGGGAGCAGGTATCACATCTATATCTTAGGAGGAATCTTGATTAATATATACTTCAAGATTTACATACTTGTGTAGCAACCGCTAATGATAAATCTCCGCTTAATGATAAAAGTATCATTAAGCGTTGCAATTGCAATGCTTAATGCCATAAATTATTGCATAGTTGACATTAACATCTAATGCTAAATCGCCGCTTAATGAAAGAATTATATTATTAAGCGGTTGAGAATATCAACTATTAATGCAATGATATATGACATTAAGTGTTGAGTTGCAACGCTTAATGATATTTCTGTCATTAAGCGGCGTTTTATCATTAGCGGTTGCTACATACCTACCTATCTTTTTTGCTTGCGGTGGAGCATAACGTCAAACTTCATGTTTGAAAAGTTTTTTTTTTTTTTTACCTTTGGAAGGATTTTTCCCTACATTTTTTAACTTTATCTGAAAAAAGAATCATTTTGCCTTTACAGGTGAATTATTAAAAGGAAAAACAGCCACACAATCCACGGAGTTTCCATGTATTCCTAAGTGTGGTCCAGACAAAGTTGTTGATGGCGATAAAAATACATGTATGAAGACATACGAGATAGGTCAAGCCGCTCCGCGCAAAACAGTATGGTCGATGATTGATCTCGGTGAAACTCACAGCATTTACAGCATCAGCATAGATTTTAAAAATCAAACAGGTTATGGTATGGTCTTCGTTTGAATACAAACTGTATATCAGCGCATAAAAGCAAAAACATTGTTCAATTCTTGTTTAACTATTTTAAAAAAAAACGTAAATACCATTTTTAAATTAGCTTTATTAACATGACAGACATATATTGCAAAAGATGACTTATGAGTACATGATAATTGGTCAAAATTATTTTATCTCCTACTTAAAGAAATTATTCTATAAATGAAATATGGACTTAACGAACAGTATTTATTAAGCTCAAAAGTCCTTTTAAACTAAATAAATCAGGAACAAAGCAAACACGGACATCTAAAACATCAGAGGTGGTAGCAGGTGCCTTACCGACCGGTCACTCCCGCCGTGTGCTCCATTTCATGATAGAAAAAATCCGTAGACAATTCGGTTTGTAAATAATGGCCTAATAATTAGTATAAAACGTCATTCAGTATTTTTTCTTAGTGATAGATTGGAATTGATGACAAGGTAAAAGTATCGACCATTGAACTTGTAAAATTAAAAGTTTAAACGAGACTGTTGATAATCTTGTTTCATTAACTTGTTTGTTAATAGCTTGCCTTGTTTTATAATTTTTTCGTACGTATATAGAGCATGCTCTCGCGTATCCAATCAACTGAGAGACATAACATTTCTAATAAATGCTCATTTTGGGGTTGGTATCCCCCCTCCTTGCTACGTGCGTATTAGTACCTCGTTATTATGACTTGGTTTATGTCGTAAATACGACTTATTATCTCGTTCGTACATGTACGACTTAGTATCTCGTAATTAAGACATATAATTTCGTTTGTACGACTAAGTACCTCGTTATTATGAATCATTAACTCGTTATTACAACTATGTATATGTCGTAGTTACCCCTTATTATCTCACTATCACGACTAAGTACAGTATGATGCAATAAATATTCGTACAAAATTGCGGCGTAATTACATTCTCTTTTTTAGCTAAAATAAAAGTTGGTTAAAAATAGCAATAGAATTTCAATTGTTATTTTTAACATAGTAAAGTGATGTAACATCGAAAGGTCTTGTGATTTTGTTGTCGCCTGCTGTATTTCCGGAAATCTACAAGTCTAAAAGAAAATGGGTAGAAAGAGTAAGAAGTTGTCTAATGATGTTAAAAATCTGCGAGGAGACTCTTGGTGATAATCACATTGCTAAACGTAGGGTACAACTCCGTCTTCACAAACATGGGTACTCGAGATGTGTGTCTAGGGAAAAAGTTGTAAAAGAGGGTAACCAGAAAAAAAAAAAAAAAACAACAAAAGATTGAAATGGTGAAGAGAAAAAAAAACGATTGACAATTGATAATTACTGGAGTAATGTGATTTTTTTCTGATGAATCTAAAATCATGATTAGACATAATTTCCATGTATATGTGTGGCGCAAAAGGGACGAGGGATGGAGGCCTGATCTAATGACACCACGACAGGGTAAGCCATGTTATGAAGCGATGATCTGGGAATGTATAGCATGGGACGGTGTGGGAACTATAACATCTGTAAATGGCAATATTAATGCTGAGAAGTATCAGGAGATCCTTGATGAGAACTTGTGGCCAGTTATAGTCCGTCATTTTCCTACCGAAAATTACATATTTCAGCACAATGCTCCGGTGCATCGGGCTAGAAACACTCAACAATTCCTTCACAGAAAAAATATTTCTACCATGAGTTGGCCGGCACAATACCCAGATTTAATGTTATTGAAAACCGTTGATTAAAAGGAAGCTTCAGACGCGATTTGGGAGGATTGGGAGTAGGGATGACCTCTTCCACGAGATTCAGAATATCTGGACTGGGATCACAAAAGAAGCCTCTACCAATCAATTCCTCACAGATTGCGTTAATTAAGTGTAATTAGATTGAAAGGACATTTGACAAAGTACTAGGTAAGTTTAAATTGTTTTATTAACTTTGAAAACGTCTTATGTACGTTTTTAGACTGACCTACTTTCGTCCCGAATGTAAACACGCCGCCAATTTGTACGAATATTTATTGCATCATTCTGTAAATTTAATGTAAGTAAAAGTCAATATAACGACTTCTTATCTCGTAATTACGATATATTATCTCGAAGAACAACTGTGTTTCTCGTAATAGCGACTAATTATCTCGTTATAACAACTTATTATTTCATTATAAGGACTCAGTAGAAGTCGTTATACATATACCGACTTATTATCTCGTACTTACGACTTATTTTTTCGTACCTACGACTTGTTATGGCGTAAGTACGACTTCGTATCTCTTACGTTCATATTATATCTTGTAAAAACGACTTATAATCATCTCCTACGTACGACTTAGTATCTTGTAGGTACGATATTGCCATAAACTGGCAGCAATACGCTTTCATATAAGACAGCTACCAAAATCAAATTTAATCTTAACTTCACGTTATTCAGAGTTTTGATTTTCCATGTAATTTACTTTCAGAGCTGAGGCAAAGGGGCCGATTTGCTGGATTTTCCCTATATATATCTGACACTTCTAAAAGAGAAGACGGCTATCTATGTTACAAGAACACACTTCCATTACCTCCCTTAAATTTCAATACAACATGTATTGGTTATGGTCGTTATGTCATCTATTACAACGAAAGACTGGAGGGAGTTAAATACCCTGAAGGATACTCCAATGGAAATTTGTACACAGAATTATGTGAAGTGAAAATACAAGGTTGTTTTTCAAATTGGTTTAATTGTTATTGTAATAGGAGGGCTGTTCGGAAAGTCCGCGAACTTCTGCCATAACCTTTTAACATATTCAAAATTGGCATAAATATTTTAACAAATTAAAAGAGAGGGAGAGAGAGAAAGAAGAAAAAATAATGGTTTTATTTTTAATTTCAAAATTTCATAAACCTTAATATAGTTCAAAATTATTCATATTTTAAAACTGCAAAAATGGGATCACAGAGCAGTTCAAAATTTTATATTTGCACTTGATAATTTATGTAGTCATTATTTCTTTAAAATGGTGCAAAAAAATCTAGACTTCCAAAGTTAGAATAATTTACAGTCAGTAAAACTGGGACTAAAAGACTTACAACAGAGTGGGGGAGATAACTCTTGCGATTTCAATTAAACGTTTAATGTGACGTCAAATTTGACGTTACTAATAAAGCGTCAAAATGACGAGCGATACGATCCCGATGTATCAAGTGGAAACAGAAAAATGGGATTAGGGGCTTGATTGTGATTTCTTTATGAGTACCAAATCCTATCATTGATTATTTTTTTAATTAAACCCCTCAACTCTATGAAAAGGAAGAAACGAAAGATTACCCTTTAAATTTCTTTAATTTCATATTATGTAAATCGAATCCGTGATCAAAGCACAGCATTTTCCATCTGAAAATTTTTGTTACATTTTCTTCCCGTTACAGTTGGCTACATAACATTCCGATTACAGGTCTATCTTATAAAAATGCATTCACCAAATAAATATTTTTTATTCTTCTTTTATATATATAAAAAAACAAACAAACAAATAACAAAATATTATATGTTATATAGAAGTTCACTGGTCAAAGAGGAACAACTCTAAAAATGTGGGATATGTTTTTTTCCCTCCCTTAATTGAGTTATTCCTTTTGTTTTCCGAACAATTATGTTTTTCACGAATACACAGATACATTTACAGTCAGACTGGGCTGATGAACTCGAGAACTAAAAACTACAATATATACAAAGTAAGTCCTTTAAGTGAAAAAAATTGTTTACAGAAATTATTTGAATTAATGAATATCTCATTGCAGCAAACTGCCCAACCTTCTGTCTGACACTGTGAACAGTGTCGGTTCACATTTCCTCGAATCAAAACAAAACGTTTTATATATCATTATTCACATGAATCGTTTTAAAATAAATGAAGTATTTAAAGTTTGATAATGGACGAATACGAAGTTTCCGTTTTATCTATAAAAGCAACGGAAGTATGCATACAATATCGGGGGGTGGGGGTTATCCCCTAAAACTCCTTTGTTTGAAAATGTTAAGAAACTATAAATATTCCATTTATATTACAGAGGAATTGAACATACGCCATTGTGAGTTCACTTTAACAAGAAATAAAATTAAATTCATTAAATAAAACTAAATTTCAATGTCAGTTGAATTTCATATCCAGGTATGAAATATGAATGCATATGTATGGACTACATACCGGACACGTGGGCATAAAATCCTAAGTGAGTTTTACTTAAATACAAAACATACTAGTAGTCAATATTTAAAATGCATACACGAATTAAAAAATTAGTCCTTCAGGAATTCAATGGACTAAATATATCTGAAATTTATCCGATGTTTCATCAAGCTCGAATAGTCTGTGTCGCAAAAAAAAAAAAAAAATAAATAAAAAAAGAAAAGTAATGGGGTAAAGAGGGGGGGGGGGGTTCGTAGTAAAAATTGCCTATAAATGATAAAATCTACAGTTAAAAACGCCTTTTATTTGAAAATTCTGAGAAAATAAAATGTAAATACCATTTTCAAAGTAAAAGATAAAAAAGTAAAAGTTCAAGACTAAGATGAACCATAGGTTTTCAGTTTAAGGTCTTCAAAAACATTTATGTCGATATATACTTCTACAAAATTACAATATTTGTGTGTTTATTGGTCAAACGAATTAGTTAGGCTATCCCGACTTTTTTGAAAATCAAGGATTTTATAGTTGGTTGATTGAAAATTTCTTCTCCTCGTGAACAGCTAAAGGGGGGGGGGTAACTTTTGGAACTTCTGTCAAAATACGACTCGAACGATTTTGTCCAAAATGTGCATAAACATAGTAGATATTGTCATGTATAATATATACAAAAATACCGAAAATTAAACGACAGGAATTTTTCAAGGGTGAGTGTGTTGTACATACTTAATGTTTTACTGCCTTGAAAGAAATCTTTTTTGGAATATTGGCCGTCCTCATAAGAAAAAGCACAAAAAATAACGCCATGGAGCAGCGACTAGCTACAATTTTGAGTTGCACTCTGAAAAAAAACCTAAAGTAAACTCTTGAAAGTACTCAAGGAAGTAGAGAACATGTTAATTGAGTTTTGTATTTGTGTGTCCAAATATAAAAGACGGTTTATATGGTAATTAAGACATTGTTTCTGACAATATATGATCTTCTAGGAGATGGATTATCAGAAATATCGAAATAAATGTTAATACTTTCAATGATGGAGAAATGGACCTTTACTGTTGTGGATTTTTCAAAAACAGATTTACGCGGGAAAAAGAGAAATCGTGTCAAACTAATGCTTCCGAAACAACTGTTAGCAAACAAAATGTCAAAAGTATTTTTTGGAAACCTAGCTTAACGTTTTTGACGTAATGATGCTGCTAAGTGTCCCCTGCTGGTAACAAAATTTGTATGAGTAGTGTGGGCGGACGTTAACCCCCTCCCCCTAACAATGGGGGTCTATTGTATTGGAGAACAATGGAGAGAACAATAGGAAAGACAATGAAGTGACCCTGACCTAGTTATGGTTACTGTGAATGAGCACGGGTATTTAAATGATGATGAAATGGGATACAGGAGCACTTACACGAATAAATGAACACGGGTATTGAAATGTTAAAGTTGGGAGGGAGAGCAAGAGAAGAGCAACAAGTACTTTAAGACTGTCATCAATAGAAATGTTGAGATTGCTCGCGCGCACCGCCGCCGGAACACGTGGACTCCGGAGACCGAAGCTACCGAAAACCGTGGACTCCCAAACTCGCGGACTCCGGAACTATTTTAGATGATAAATAACATTCTGGGTGAAAAAAATTAGAGATCAAAAGTATTTCTGTAGAAAAAAATTATGTGTGCATTTTACAAAATGCATACTGTGCGGGTTTACAGAACGCAGATAGAACTTATATTTTTTAAAACTAACCCCACCAAATTGTGGTGGTGGTAGTAGTTGTTGTGGTGGTGGTGGAGAATGTAATGACAAAAACAAAACACTGTGATTCTTTTGTGATTTTATTCGGACTTAATTTCAATGTTCAACAATACAAAATAATACAAAAATATCATTACAAAATAATCGTGTTAATTTATTTATTTTCTTGACAGAGGTGATTAAACTTCACATGGTGTTTGTCGAGAATGCATAATATTGCATCTTCAAGAGGCACGTCATTTTCATTGATAAGAGAGAGAATTCATGACGAATGTTCCTCTGCAACGCACATTTCATGAGGCAAGCAGACAGTTTAAATTGTTCTTTATAATTTGTCAATAGTAAATCTCTGTCTTCTTCCAGCATCCGTTTCATGGTCGTTTCTCTGGCTTTTTCCGTTGGATCCCATTTTTGGACTAATTTGGTAACTTGGTCTTGGAATAAAGGGTCATGTTGGTTCCAGACGGTGTTGATCATCATATCAAAGCCGACTGTATCGTCCTCATCATCTGTTTGATCACTGGTGTCAGTGTCTTCCTCTGAGTCTTCCTCACAGTTGCAGCCAAGTGCGGTGTGACGGCCCAAGTCTTAAGATGTAGCAAACACGAGACCACAATCAAGGCAAAAGGGCTGCAAAATGTTGTTTTCACTTTGCTTGATTGTATCCTCGCTGAAATCGGCAGGAGGTAATTTTTTTAAGAAGATATTGGTTTGTAATCGCTTAGATTCTGGTGTAATTTGCTTTAAATCGACGACAAGGGATCCGTGAGGCGTTTCATCAACGGCTTTGTGATAGGCATCTAGCAATATGTTGGAATGTCCAGGATACATTTGACGAGCGAGGGTAGAGATCTGCAGTTTGTCTCGCGGATTCTTAAAGAGAACCAAATATTGGCTGTTCAGGTTCATCGTCCTATTTTCTTTTCCATTGTTGAAAGGTTCTGCATGATGCAAACTATGCTCATATTTCTGTGGTGGTCGCCCTCCACAAATATTTTACATACATCTTTATTTGTAGTGGAATCTTTCATGAGATCGTCGATGATTAAAAGTGTATTTTCGTCGGGATCCTGAAAATCGTCGCTGTCAAGGTCGGCAGGTAGTCCTTGGATGAACTCAAGGATAGGTATTTGTCTCTTGAGGCCGTCATACAAGGGCTGCCATCTTTTATACAGCCAAATGATTCGGTCAGGAGACGGTGAGATGAAATTCTGTCTTTGAAGTAACAGCTCTTTCATCCATGTTGACTCTCCCGACATTGTAGGACCCGCAATGACCATGGTAAATGGATGCTGAAATTCAAATTAGTTATGACCGCCGTCGACATGAATGCCTCGACGGTAAGGATGTTGCCTTTTATGAGCGGTTCTTTCGTGTCTTCTTAAGGCATCTGTGCGGGAAAAAGATTTATGGCAGATGTTGCAAGATGTGGACGACATGGTGATCTTCGTGCAAATGACGGCTTGTCCTATTCATGTCTTATTTAATTATAACATTCGAACCCTTTCTCCAGGTGGTTCGTGATCATTGTCTTTGATCTCTCTCTTCAGCGGCATATGTGGTCTTCCTTCTTTGACGGTCTCTTTATGCACAGAATTTGCTCTTTTTACTGCTGCCTCTGCTGGGGAAAATTGCTGGTACAGCTGCTTAAAGGTCTTGTCTTTTTGACTCTTTTAACCATTTTGCGACCATGTCCTGGCTTCCGTTGGATGATGTATACGTCTTTCGTCACCCAGACTCTAGGGTCAGAGATATAAATTTTCTTATAGAAGCCTTTGTTATCCAT